CCGAAAAAGCCAATCTCGCCGCTATCGAGTCAGTGCCGACTCACAGTGACAGCACTGGACGGGGTACAGCTGTCCTGTGGGTTTCGGAGACTGTGACTGTCGATGGCAGTAGAAAGCCCCTGAACGTAAGACTTCTAGTCTCCTAAGCAGAGAGAGGATGTATTTTGTTAAAAGGCGTCCACTTGTGATATTTCGGTTACAGCAGCACCGAGTAACTAGGACCGGGGTGCTGGTAACGTGGGAGTGCCTGCATGCTTGTGCTGCATTTAATGATAAGCACCCGGTTTAATCTCCATCATGTTCTGAGTTCAGGAACGGGAAATTGCCGCCCTCCTGGCGAAATTCTCTGGATCTATAGGTAAGGGAAGGGTTGAGGGACATTTTGGGGGAATGTCCCTTCTTGGAAGTGAGGTGTAGAGGGACCGACTGCTAGGGGCTCCCCATCCTTCCACCCTCACTGCAGAAGGCAGGCTTGGGTCCTGGTGGGGGCAGAAGAAAGGAATAAGGTTACCGCCCTTCTGCCCTGGAGATGTAGACTGGCCTGCATCCTGTGGGGCCTCCGTCCACGCTCCCCTGCCCTGTGCGCACTTGATGAGGCCGACAGTCAGGTCCTGACCACACACCAGCCACCCTCCAGCTGGATCTGCATGCCCGTGGAGCCTGCTGTCACGCCGCCATGGGGACTGACAGGGATGACAGGGCCTTCTGGGTCCCCGAGACAAAGCCCGTCGAGTGCTCGGCTCTTCCCGCGAGCCAGCCAGGAGCGAAAGGGGGAAGCAGCCACGCAGCCACTAGGCCTGGACACTTGTGCCCTCAGGGAGCTCCTGCCTGGTCCGGAAGTGCCGTCCACAGGGCACCTTGCCCTGGGCTTCTGGGGCTTTCTCTTTCAAGGAAGAAAACATAAAGGCGTAGCTGCAGGACAGGCACAGCGGCAGGAATAGGAGCCATTTCAGCGTGCACATGGTGAGCCGAGACGCGGGGGGGAGTTGCTCATGGTGGGGTGGCTTGCCCTTGCTACTGGGAGACTGGCTGCCTCCAGCTGGGCCCCTGGTGATGTCACAGAGGGCCTCGAGCAGCAGGGGCCCTGGCCATTGTGACACCGGAGGTGGCCGGCCGACTGGCCGGCAGGAGCACCGCAGGCCCTCATTGGAGACGCCCGGCAGATGGTGGG